GAACGAAAGCTCCAACATTTTTGGTGGGATTTAAATCTGGAGAGTTCCCAATCCACATTACACCACTTTTTCATAGACTACTCTTTCTAAATTAAACAGTTATGAAACTTTTGAGGCATTAATCGGATTTTTCAAATCTGGCATTGCAATGTGTCAATTGGAAGACTTGAATTCTTGGAGCATGTCTGCAACTAGTTTCTGAGCCATCCCAAAGGTAGCACATGTGACACGAACCTGAGTTCTAGTGAGTACCATGATTCAAAGGTTTTCACAAGAAATGAAATTCAAAGATTCAAACACCCAAGAATACATTGAAATGACATTTTCTCACGAGTGATGATATTTGCGGTCCTACTAAGTTCATCATTACTTCAGAGAAAAAAGTGTGATTTATTTTGCAACACCCCTTAAGTGTACCTAAATTAAATTTTACATTTTGAGGATTAAAATGAGTTTCAAATAGGTACTTGCCTCTAAAATACATTCCTACCCATTTCCTCACAACCAAATGTCATACAGTTTTTCATTATGTTAGTAACTTAGAAATCTGAATTATGGTGGGAAAAGCAGAACTTATGTAACATTTCTTGATGCAGGCACAATAAGTCATGTGGGAGGGTAAAGAATTTAGGGTAAGTTGATGCATGGTCTGCATTGTATCAAGGACATTCAGAACTTTGAGTTGCATGGTTGTTGACAGCATTAGGGCAATACAGTGATGAAAGGCTTTCAGTATTTCAGTGGTAAGGAACTGTTTGAAATTAATTTCAGTCCTAAAAATGTGAAATTTCATTAGTTATAGATAAACATGGCCTGTTTTCTACATAATACAACTCAGATAAAAATGGTCTATTTTCCATATAGATGAACTATGTTTTTCCATTTAGACAAATTTTAGGGAAATATGATCCTTTTTTTTTAATGAGTTGGAGGTAAACATGATGTGTTTTCTTTGTAGATGAGTTTAGATAAAAGTGGTCCGTTTTCTATAATGATGAGTAGCTAGTAAGATGTTAGAAAACAAATATAAGTATTTACTGCTTTGCTTTTGATTTTATTATGATGAACTGTTTTATATGCTTGAAAGAAAAAAAAAGATAAAAAGGAGGAATGTTTTTTGTACCAACAGAGAATTTGACAAAATAACTGTTGTTAAATATTTACTTAATTTAAACATTAAACAGTCTACAGATGACAAAACTTAATAAAATACTAAAAAAGTAATTACAACTCTAGTAAATGTACAGGAAGTCTAGTTACTTTTGTACTTTTCTGTATATTTTGTAGTTTATATAACATGTATATGTATCCATTATGAATTAGTTTTATATCTGGCTTATTTTGTTTTGATTTGTTATAAACCTGTTTCAGAGATTTAATCTTTTAACTCTCCTTGTTGCCTGATATTATGAGTACTACCGTTTATTGTTTTCAAAGTTGCAGAATTAAACTGATAGAAGTAAATGATGTTTGCTTGTTAATTACAATTTGCAGTGTTACATACCCATATACATAACATATTGGTATGTTTGCTAAAGAAAATATAAATCATCACATGCGTCATAATTAGATAGTACATGTAGTTGACTAGCTGATGGATTAATGTTCAGGTTTCAAGTGATGAACTATCAAGGTTTCTTCCAATTTTGAACTCCTGTCATTAAACAGAATTTGAGAGTCACCATATGTCACTTCATCCTTATGCTAAGTGTTAAAGTACTGATAGATCTAAAACTGATGCATTATCTATATAAGGCCACAAATATTCTTTTTTATGTTGTCACAAAGATAACTATCTCAATTTTTTTTCTAGGATGGAGGTTGAATGTAAATTTTTTTCATGTTCCCTTATTACTCCACATCATATTTGTTGTTTTTATAAGATAGTCAACAAAATAAAGCAACATACTTTGACAAATTAAATACACTGAAAATTCGGACAAGGACTGATCAATAATTTTCAAGTCATTACATGAAAACATTTTAATATGTTATTGTAATATTCCCATTACTGTAATGAAGTTATATTTCATTGTATATTCCCAGCTATAAGTCTTTATTAAAGTACTTAAATGCCTTTATTCATGTATTCGATAGATAGTAAAATAGTGGATAATGCTTACCTATTTTTTTTTAATCACATGGTTATTTTGAAACCAAACTTAAAGATCAAGTTTCAACAAAAATATACATTACAAATATTTTATCAAAAAGGAATAAAGATTAGAAAGATTGTAGAGGTTGGGAATATCTTATGGATACTTATCAGTTTTTATCAGTGTGTTTTGATAGAAATATTTGACCTGACTGTACCGATCATTATTAAAGCATTGACACATGTTCTTTCACATCCACAGAGCATTGCTAAGGAACTTTGATGAATTTTCTTGATCCCAATCAGCACTGGGATACATTTACCATTGTATCAAGTTTCACATTCAACTAGTCTGCCAAAAAATGCATCATTATGCCTAATATCATTGAACAAAAGATTAGCATTTTCCAAGTGATATTAACAAAGGTATAGAAAACTGGTTTAGATGGGCTTGGCTTGAAAAAATCGTAAAAGTAGACATTGGTAAATAATATGTGGATATTGTTTTAGGTGACTTTAAATGGAAGGTTTATGTAACATGTGTATTGACTCAGTGAGGATTTAGTTTGCTAGCCTACAGAATGAATTTCAGAATTTTTAACAAATAAGCTGAAGAGATGAATGATCTATTAGTTAAACTTACTTGAATAATACTTTCTTTATGTTTACTTATAAAATTTAGTTGCAGGAGAACTTAGTTGAAGAGGTTATTGCTTTAATAAATCAATGTGCTTCAAGGGGGTTCGTCCTCCCTCCCCCAGCAGGGGTGCTGCTCCACACATCACCATGATCTAACACTGCTCCTGGGCTCCCAGATATATTCTGCCTTTTTCTGTTCTTCTTCTTCTTTCTGCTCTCACCCCTCAGTATGTTTATTAAATCCATGAAAAATTGTATACACTAAACTTATTCTTTCAAATATTGATACCTGAAACCATAAATAACTATGTTTTTTAAATGTTACTTGTATTCTTTATGTTAAGTGAGCTATGAAATCTGGTGAATGTTTTTATTGCTATTTAATTTTTATATACAAATATTCCTGTAAAAAAAATATATTTGTGGTGATTCACTTTTTAATTAAATTGATTGCTTTAATCAGTTGATTAAATCTAGTTTTGTTAAACTTCTAAAGTTGCAATCAAACATTCTGATTTTGTAATGAATATTTTTATTTTTAATTGAAATAATGGAGTAAGTTTATGTGTAAATTATCCACCAGCTATTTCATTCTTATGTTATTCACTAGTAAAGAAAATAGAAAACATAAACTATGATCCTGTACTACATGAGTAAATATGTGCTCATAGTTTTCTTTTCCATTTATTTAATTTTATGCTGTAGACAGGATATACATATTCTGAATCATCCAAATGCACATTACTCTGCTATTAAACTTTAAGTAAGCATGGTGTTCATTACACTTGTTGTTGTTCTTTGCTCATCAAAGTAAGATTTCAGACAACGAATCTTCTGCCAATAATATTACTTCAAGGAAATTTGGTACTAACAAACAAGTACTTGCATGTTTAATAAAAAATTAACCTATCCCAAACATCTGTACAATAACTATACTTTGAACATCTAAGTATTACTTTTAGAGAGTGAAAGAACAAAACATAAGCTTTTCCTACCTTTCCTAGATTGAATGATTAAAATATGTTGACAGATATTTGAAATCTTTGATCAGCTGTTTATAGTTGTTAGAAATCAATCATCTGTTGTATACTGTGTTGGATATGTATCACCCTAAAAGTCATGTAAAGTTCTTAAAGCATGTTATTGAGTTGATTAAAAAAAATTAACAAGCAAAAATTTATAAATTATAAACAAAACCTCAACTGAGGCAGTATCCACTCTTTAGATTTGGTGCATCTTTTACCAATTTGAGATAGATATGGAAGTTTAAAATTTGAGATTTACCTTGTAAATTGTAAGTTCATTCAGCATAACACTGGTAATAAAAATGATTACCCTAATTTTTAAAGTAAAATTTAAATATCAAGAAGGAATTTGGTAACAACCTTGACATAACATTACCATAGTTTTACATTATAATTATTTTGAGATAAGCTGTTTTGCTGGCAAAGTTATAATGTCACAACAGTTGAGTAATGACAGTTGGATGTTATTACTTTCTTACATATAGTACACTGTTGTCATCACAGTACTCATTTGCAGTCTAAAAAAAATAGACTCGCATGATCTTTATATATTATAATGTTAATTTCACAACAACATCACTATTAAATTCATATTTGTTGGAATATTTCCTGAAACTTATTACACACGTTTTAAAAACTTATTTTGATTGTTTATCAAAATGATAGAAATAATAAGATTTATATTAGATAAGAAATTGTTTCGATTGCTTTACCTCACCCTATCAACATAATTTTTTTCGAAGACCCACAAATATTTCTCAGTTAAACAGTTTCAAATAATAGTTATTTTATCGTGATTAAGTAAATAAAAATGTTTTTATTCACTAGAGAATTTCTGAATCATTTTTGTGGAAAAGTTTTATTAATTAATGAGAAGCCCAAACAGCTCTTGATCATCCAACAGTATTTTAATAAAACTGGGTATTATACATTGGCTGGACACTATTAGGATCCTACCAAAACCTAATATGGGGTTGAACCATCTGTGACACAGTAGTAGCCAGGATTGAGTCTGAGAGACACCTTCTGGTGTAATGTATTTTTTCATGGAATATGACTTGCAGTTGTTTTACTGATGTTATCAGAAGACTAGGAAGGTGAATCATTCAAGTTCAGCCCAAGAATTGAGATTAGAGGAGTGTGCTGGTCAACAAAGATGACTGAAGTCACTGCAATGCTATTTTAAACCAATTATGGACAATACAAAAGTGGTTAGTGTTATGTTTTCTTAGAATAAACTTTGTCCATAGAAATTTGGAGTAGATAGTTAGTGCCGGCAATTTTTCCTACTGTCAGATGCATTCCATTTTGATTGCCAAAATTTATAAGCTGATGAAAATTCTTAACTTGGACACTCTTTGTAATAATACATCATAACATTTTCAAAGTCTGAGAGTTCTTTATTCTTATCTACTGCCTCAAAATTAACTATGATATATTTTTACATATCTGAATTTATAGGGTTCAAACAGTCATATGATCAATTTATTTTGGATTTATGGTTGTGGAGGGTTCCTCATAAAGTGGCCAGTCAGTGTACAATTTATTGCAATGGTTATGACACTTAGATCTGATATCAGAAATAAGGATGTTGTTTTGGCTAAAAGCATATTGGCTCCTTAAATCATTGATTTTTGGACCTCTGTTTACCAAGAGATATTTCATGAAACCCTAAAGTTATGGTGCAACACTGTAGTTGTTAAATCGATGATGAGTGCTTAATATCAGATGCACACCTTTAGTGGCCCAGGTGGTACTATTTCTGTCATTCAAAGTTGTAATCTCTTTTAGAGATTTTATGTCTAGACTCCGAATATAATATTACCTTTTTTTTTTTTGAGTGGCTGAAACAAGGCTGAAATTTTCTCACGTAGATATATGTAAGTAAAGGCTCAAATTTACAGCCCTGACTATCTCATTTATACCATATTTACACATCTCATTACTCATCATTTGAAGTATATTAGTTAAGTCATAAAAGTGTGAGCAAGCGTATTAAAACAAAATGTTAAAAAGGAAGAGAAAAGTAGTGTGTCAGTATGAATAGACGAAAGCCAACCCTAATAAACCAGGAGTATTCAGCTTAAGAAAGTGTTTACCAAATAACAGTAAATCACATTGTTGAATACAAATTTAGTGTAGTCTTTTTTTTTATTTAGCCAAGAATATAACTTGTACGTAAGACAAAGCATCTTATTCGAAACTATAAGCCTTTATCATTATTCCAGAAGTAGCTCTGTCTGATTAAAACTCATATCTTGTTTTTATTATATTGTGTGTTGAAAATTCCCTTTTTTTAAAATTTAATGATAACTACAATGAGCAGAATATTGTATTAACCATTGGTTTCCCGTTTCTCCCCTCCTCTACCTTTATATTTGGATATTTTTCTGAACATATTGTTACGCCTTCGTTCGTTAGTTAATTTTCCGTATAATTTCTTTCCGAAGAAACTTTAGCGACACAAGTCCTTTCTTAAATAAGGCTGGTTTATTCTTTCTAAATACAACTTTGCAATACACTTAATTTCCACAGTCACGCTATAACAAACGCTATAATTCACAATGAACGTCACATGTGCTCGACTCAACAATACGTCTCTCTCTGTCTGCAGTTCAATTAACATTGTTCCCGTCAGTTCTTACCGGTCTTATATATACAAGAATACCGCATATCTAGTAACCTCCCGAGACTTCAGGAAGGGACAGGATCCTTCTAGAAGTTCATGACGTGTTACTAGCGTCACGTGACTTCCGCTGTCGTAACAATATCGATCATTACAATGCCTTTTTAAAGCCTGATTGTTGGATTAGAGTCGTGGGTGACACGTTCTTGTTCTGGTAGCATGGAAGTAATGAGTTAAAAACTTTACTGATTATCTTTATTCATTTTGAGATTGAACAGGATCATTGTTTACCCATTTCAAATGCACTTGTTAAAATAAATGATAATGAAACTATTTCTACAATTATTCCACGGAAATTATATTCAGGCTCCATGTAGCCACATAAAAGACATGTCACTCATTTTCTCTAAAACTAGCAGCTTTTCATACTTACATAGTCAGAACACTTAAAAAATTTCGGATACAGCTCATTTGAAAAATGAATTATATACAAAACATTGCTACGATAAAGGTTTTAATATTAGTGTCAGTTAACGTATAATAAAGCAGAGTACTGTATTTGATAGAGCCTATGATAAGAGGATTGTCAGTGTAGTAATATTAATATATATATATATATATATAAAAGGTTTAGCCAAATCGCCAGTATATTCAGCAAATATAACTTTATTGCTACTTTTAAACCAATAGAATTAAAACTACTTTCCGGTACTAAGGATTAAAAAATATTTTAGACAAAAAGTTGTATACAAAATTAGCGTGAATGCAATAAAAGGTATATTGGTCAGGCTAAACATAATTTAAAGTACCGTTTTAGTGAACATAAAGGTTACGTACACTACCAAATGATGTTAAGGTATTCACTTGTTGAATACCCTGTAAATTAAATAATTCATTGCTAAATTAAGGTGAAGTCTTAGCTGGTTTTAATGTGCAGTTTCGAATAAAAAAATACTAACTTCTTATACAAAATAGCATATGTATTCGTACCATTTCTTAAAGTTTATTATATGTATAATATATAATTCTATTCATGACTACTTTTGTGTTAAAAGATGTTAATTGAAGAGTGGAGGAGAGTACTCTTGGCGTTACATACGGGTCCGATCCCCTCACCGAACGTACTTGCCCTTTCAGCTATGGGGGCGTTATAACATAATAGTCAATCTCACTATTTGTTGATGAAGAGTAGCCCAAGAGTTGATGGTGTTGACTAG